ACAGCTTTCAGTTCCTTCAGTCCATTTTGGTGTCATAAAATGCGCCTTCCAGACAGTGTCAGTGTTCTTTGGCCGATAACGGACAGCATGGACCTGATTTCCACAATAATGGAAAAGAAATTCATGAGAAGACTCTTGCGTCTTGTCAGTCAGCAGTGGTAAGAGATCTTTTCCATCGATGACTCTGTCCTCTGGAAGGTCTGCACCAGTTAGTTTAGCTACTGTGGGTAATACGTCCATGCTACTGGTTAGCTCGTCGAGTGAGATCCCAGCTGCGATGTGACCTGGCCATGATACTATTGTAGGCATTCTAACACCACCATCCCAGCACTGTCCTTTGCCTGTCAAAGAAACATACCATTGAAAAATTTAAATTTGACCCAATTTAATTTTGAGACAATAGTATTTTTGGTAGCATAGACACCAATACTAACTCACCTACAGAAGCAATTTATTTTTGCAGGCCTATGATGTTATCTTGTTGCCCTTTTCATGGTTAACTTTAGTCATTTGCATTACAATATAACCAAACATGTGTGTGAGGCAATTTCGGGTAATTTTGTAGTTTCTGCCCAGAGATGTCTCTCATCCACGTTGGATTACAACGCAATTTAAATGAGAAAAGCAAACTGTAAAAATGGCTATTGTAAATTTCAATTTGTGGATCAGAGAGAGTGCCACATCTGTAGCTTCAAAGGAATAGCCAGATGGATGTAGGAATTTAAAAGCAGAAAAGCTGAAAAAGTTAATTAAACCTTTTAAATTTGTAGAATGTTGTTACTTATAATAAAGAAATGAAGCTTTCATCTTACCTCCTTTGTAAATGCCCTTCCAGCCACCATGATATTCACCAGAAGAAGAGTCAATTTCTTCTAAATGAGGGCCATTATCAGATGTGAAGTAAACAAATGTGTTTTCCTTCAAACCCTGTTCTTCAACAGCAGCCATGATCTGACCAACACTCCAATCCATTTCTTCAACATTGTCACCATAGCGACCATGAATGCTATGATTAGCAAATGGCCTTGTGCTAAACAAAGCAGTGTGCACTTTTGCAAATGACATGAAAAGCAAGAAGGGACTGTCTTTGTTTGTGCGAATAAAGTTGATTGCTTCATCTGTAAATCTCATGGTTAAGTTCTCCAATACAATCGGTTGCTCCACAACTTCATAGTTTTTCATTACGAAGCAGTTAAATGATGCATACATTGTTAGGATGGCCGATAACAGAACACAGACTTGTACAGTTATTGTCAGGAGGACAATGAATGCAGTCTTGCTTAATAAACTGTTCAGGTAGCAAATATGCAGTGTAAGTGCAATGATTATTGCTGCAATTAGGATATTTGTTGGTCGCAAGCCTGGAAGGATAAGTTCTATAACATATTTGCCAGGCTCACAATCTCTCAAGTTTGTAAGTGGCAGACCATAAAAATATTGAAAACCTTGCTTCAGAGGGTGGAAAAAGAAATCAGAGTTGGTTGAAGAATGCAGCCCAAGATGCCACTTGCCAATCATACCTAAGAAAACAGAAAAGAAAAATGTTACTGAAAGTTTCCTATTGCTACTCAGAGCCACCCTTAGGTCACCCTTGGGGAATGAAAGCATGTATAGCTGACCCTTGCATGCATAAAACTGCATGCCAACATAGAGATCCACCCTCTTACCCAATAAGATAATAAGCTTTGGCATGCATTGTCACAGCCCTTCAGTGTGGCTGTTCATAAACATCATGTAAATGACTGGTTTTTTTTCAGAGCTCGACATTGCAACCACTGGGGTCACCGATGTGACCAAACTTTTTTCCCTGGCAACTAACTTTTCATGCTTTTCACTGACAGAAATACTAAAACTAAGGGGCCAAAAAAAATTGACTATCCTGAAAGTCAAGCCCAGTTTTTCCATGCCTCATACATTTTTTGGCCCAGAAGAAAATGTTCACCAAATAATAAATAAATAAATAAATAAATAAATAATGTTTGATAACCACTATTAAATTTGTGCAAACAAGCTGTTTCACTTTTATTGATGCAAAGAGCTGCAAATGGTATTTTTGCAATAACTGTTTAATTTCTTGCAAACTGATTGGCTCATTTTTATCATCAATAATAGTACTGACAGATAAAATTTTAATTTATGTAAGCTTTCAACTTAAACTTTCAGCTGTCAGACTGTCAACTTTTTAACCAATGAGATTTTATGGACTTGTTTAAGTAGCCAATCAAAAAGCCAGAAAAGCTATTGACAGTGTTCACATCATTTTGAATAAAGTCACTTATCTCTGTTTATGGCAATTTTATGCTGTCTTTTCCTCTCATTTATTTCTGGCATTTGATCATTTTGGGGTCTTGTTATTGTAAACAAAACAAATTGATGTCAAATTGATGTCAGATTTTTTATGCGTCTTTCCCCTTATTGATGATCAATTGCGTCATAACATTGTCAAAGTTTACGGAGGGCCTACTCGCCTGCGGCTCGTGGTTCCACAGCCACTTTGACAATGTTATGACACAATTGATCATCAATAAGAGGACCGATACATAAAAAACTGATGTCAAGTTGTTAATTTCCAATAGTTTGATCTTGGAATTTGCTTGGCTCCATGACCGTACATTGTGCCAAAATTTTGTGTTGTACATGAAGTAAGTAATTTAGAACCAGTTGGGTAAACTGGGGGGTGAGGGTATAGCCATGGCGAGAGGGGGGCTGGGGACAGGGTGGTACTCCCTTATTTGGCTTGTGCGGTGACATGCTGCTGGACAGTGTATGGTGTTTTTTGGCCTCGCTGCCCTGAACAGGGTATAACATGTGCAATTTAACTTGCCTCTGTCCTAAAATGGGTTAAAACTTTCTCTAAACAGGGTATGGTTATTGTAACACGATCAGTTTGTGATCTGAGAAGTCAACTGAACTTAACATAGTCATCAGTCAATACAAATCATTTTCAGGATAAGAGTAACAGCCTGAAGTAATACTATTGTTGATGGTATCTTTTAATTTAAATTATTTTTCCAACTAGTCAGTATCATAACATGTGCATATTGACGGTGTTGATTGTTCCGGTTGGTCTAGTTTCTTTGTGTTGGATATCATTTTGACAGAAAGATGTCACTGTGTCGCAAAAGCATGAGTGCGTACACAATATTGACAAGTAAGTAAAGTAAGTAACTTTAGTCAAGTGTCAGGCAAAATGAGCAGTAATAAAGCCACTCAATAGGGACACTTATGGGGCCACATTAAAATCTAAAATAACAAGATAATATTATGTTTAAAAAGCTAATCAAAAGTATTTACAATTTAAAAATATAAATGATAAAAATGCACAAAGATTATATAAGAGAAAAATACATAAAAGAAATTAAGTAGCACATTATCACACATGTCCCATTACTATAACTAATCAGTCAAAATATCCAAGTAAATGTTGTGAATGCTGACAATGTTGGTGAACCTCTAATATTTTTTGGTATAAGATTCCGTAACTTAGGCCCAGTATAATTATCTGATAGTGTGCTTCCCATATGACATTGTATTAAATCTAGGGTAGAAAATTAATATTTTTCAGTCTGTAAAAGCTGTATTGGTAACCTCAAACATAAGTTCCTAAACAGGGCGAGGATATCCTTGCCTGCATCCCTATACCAAACATGGGTCAAGTACTCCCGGGGTGGGGGAAGTTAAAATAACCCTGCGATCGGATGCCAAGTCTCCGCCCCCGTCATCACTATTTGGACAAGATTAAAGTACAGCCAGCAGTTTATTCTATCACAAAGACGTAATTCAAGACAGTTATAATTAATGTCTGTTTATAGCTGTATCAACTGCAATTAAAATGTTGAAAATAGCGTCTAAGACTAACCTGTTTTGTAGCCAGCAGCAGATGCAACCTCGGCAAATGTGGTTTCATTTTGGGGCAGACCGCCAGATCCTGCGGTAAAAATGAACACCCTGATTTGTCCTTTGTCTGAAGCGAGTCCTGATCGGATAGGATACCTTCCCGTAAGAAATGCGGCCCTGTTTGGTGTGCAGATAGAGTCCGGCGTGACGTCGTGTCGCAATCGAGCTCCTTCTTGAGCCAGCCGATCAATATTCGGTGTTTTGATCGTGTCATTACCGAAGCAGCCCAGATCTGCGATTCCAAGGTCGTCCACAAGAAAGATCAGAACATTTGGCTTTGCAGATGTTACGCTGATTGCGAGAAACAAAGAAATAAAGGTAAACCAAGGATGCCACATATTTGTACTGTTGAACTGAGCGACCTCAAATCCAAGGTGGCGGCAGCCAAAAGAAACTGGGGACTAGTCTAAACTCATCGCGCAATCCACCCAGACCATGTCACGCTTTTCCGATTTTCTCATTCAAACAAAAAATAAGCCTCTCCGCTCAATTTATCATACCGAACTTAGGAATATTCGAAGTCCCATGCAAAACCTACGGTGGCCTGGAAGAGACACGGACTCCCCTCTTTAGCCTTCAATTAAATTTTCGCTCCAACGAGCGTGTCTTTAAGAGATTTGCCTCTCTTGTATGATATAATGGGAGGTTTTGTATGTTGATGATTTTCAGTAACGGCTGGTTTTGCAATTCCAAACCAGTTATTCATTAAAATCGTTTTTACGCCACGTATTGCTGGGTGATATGCTGCCTGCTCTGTTACAGTGTACGTGAGCCCGCGCAGTCGCAACACACGCGGCGAGAAAAGAAGAGGCGGATAAAAAAAAAGTCACGGATGAAAACACGAAATCGCGAATGAAAAAAATAAGTCGCGGAGAAAAAAAAAAAATTCGATGTCCATTCCAGGCCACCGTAAAAACCAGTGGAAAGTCATGAAAACATGGGACCGAAAATTTGACAATTTTTACAAAGAATGTACGAGAGGGCAACACTTGTCCCTTGCATACATTTCATGTTGTAAAAGTTTGCACAGTTTGGGGTCCTATAATTCCTGACTTTGCAACTCATTCTTATGAAACTTGTTTTTGTCTCTTGCAAAAATGATAGGCGATCGTTTTACTTTTTTAGGTCATTGAGAGGTACTCAGTAAACGAAACCTTTTCTTTTCGATCAAAATCTCGCCGAACAAGCAAGACAATAGTCCAGTAATAGGACGGGAAGAAAGAAGAGTTCAGGGACTGGATTAGCAACATAAATCTATAGGGAACGAACTAACCTTTACGTAGGCTTCGTATTAGAACTCATAGACTATGAGTAGTCCCTCTTTAGGTTACTCCGTTGAGCGAGACAGTAAATAAACCGCGAGGAAAAAATGACCTTGCGAAACCCTGAGGGCGACACCTTCAAAAAGAGTCCCTCGGCTATTTTACTATGGACTTGCCGCCTGCCGATTGGACAAAATAATACCAAGGATTATTTTCTACCTAATCAGGAGCCAGCATTTACCGCGCTGTTTGAAACTGCACGGTTATTTCCCGTCCCAGGGGCTCCTCGCTCTCTCTCCAACTTTTCTTCCCGATTTTTTCCCTGCGACGGCTTTGACTTTGTCTCGCCGCCGCTAACCGAGGGTCTGGACTGCATGGGGTTAACTGACAACTGACAAATAGCGAAAAAGCTAACTGACAACTTATATAAATTCGTACCCGAAAATTGAGGTTGCCTATTTACCGAGTTAGGATTTCGAGTTGGATTTCGAGTTCAAGTGATTTTCGAGTTGGATTTTCGAGTTAGATTTTCGAGTTAGGATTTTTTGGCGGTTTTTTTTTTTTTTT